CTCTGGCATTGCAGGCAAATTCTTTACCTACTGACTGATAAGTGAAGCCCTCACATGTGGTTAAAACTTTGTTTTAATCAGATAGGGCAGAAGTGCAAAGTCCCCACATCAGTCACTTGATTTTCTAAATGGGAGGAACTTCCTGGCACATTCAGGAAAGGCCGTGTTTAGCTTTGGAAGCACAGTGAGAGGCCACACAAAGGTGGTGAGGACCAGGGATTGGGTAGAGAGAGTGAATAGTTCTGTTAAACAAGTAAATAAATAGAAAGAACTGTGATGGTGCTTGACACATACTAAGCACATATGTGTATTTACTCTCATTCCATCTGTTAATATTCATATACCTTATCCTTCATACAATCCAGAGGCTTTGGGATGGTGGGAGCATGAGTGTGATGGGTTTGGGACACCTGTCAAGGGCAGTGTTTTCTGGCAACACCAATACACACACCTTGTTGGAACCCTCTACACTCACGAACTGAAGTCCTAACAGCAGTGCCTAAGAGCGGGGCCTTATTTGGAAACACAGTCCATTCAGACGTCATGAGTTAAGCTGAGTTCATGTTGGGGTGAGGTGTCCCTAGTCCATTCAGTGCCTGTGGGTCTCAGGAGCTCTGGTCCAGGAAACCATCACCCCCTTCTGCCAGCTCATCGTCCACTGAGGATCTCCCCGTGCAGAGCCCACCTGGAGGGCTGGGAGGAGGGACCGCCTGGGGGCTCAGCTGCGGGGGAACCGGGCCAGGCCTGTCCCTGCTGAGCCCACAGTCCTCCCGGGGCTGGAGGAGAGTGTGAGCAGGACGGGAGGGTTTGTGTCTCGCTTCCCCGTCTGTCCGTGTCACCGTGAGGATCATCACTGCTGTCAGCTGACAGACAGTGATAGTCGGCCTCATCCTCGGTCTGGGCACTGGTGATGGTCAAGGTGGCTGTTTTGCCTGAGCTGGAGCCAGAGAACCGGTCAGGGATCCCCGAGGGCCGCTCACTATCTTTATAAATGACCGTCACAGGGGCCTGGCCTGGCTTCTGCTGATGCCAAGATGTATATTTCTTATCTAGCAGGTCCCCCGAGCAGGTGATCTTGGCCGTCTGTCCCAAGGCCACTGACACTGAAGTCGGCTGGGTCAGTTCATAGGAGACCGCGGAGCCTGGAAGAGAGGGGGAAGATGGGATGAGAAGGAAGGACACCTTCCCCGGGTATCCCACCCCGAGGCGGTGCCTGGACTGCGCTCTGGGTTCCGGGCAGGCCCAGCCCAGGGTCCTGTGGAACCTGAGCCTGCGGGCAGGGCTGGGGGGCCGCACCTGTGCAGAGAGAGAGGAGGGACAGCAGGAGAGGGGTGCAGGCCATGGTGGACGCGCCCTGAGCTCTGCCTCTGAGCCCGCAGCTGGGCTGGGGCCTCTGGGCTGTCTTATCCTCAGGAGGGACGTCCTCATGCAAATCTCCTTCCTGCCCCTTGTGGTCTGTGGACCGGCCCCCTGTGAAGCGGAGAGCAGCTGGGCTCCAAGGAGGAGTCTCCTGGGGCCTGACTCCCAGGCCTGTGCGCAGGTCCCCAGGCTCTCTCGGGGCTGAGTGAGAAAGGCTGCCCCTCCCTGAGCAGTGCACATGCCCTCTGTCTGCTCAAGGGGTCCCCTCTGGGCCTGGGGGACACACAGGTGTCCTCTCTGGGACGAGGCCATCGTCTGCGGGGCTAGACAGTGCTGGAAGCTGGCTCTGATGGGACCGTGGTCCTGCTGCTATGAGAGCCAGAATTCCAGCATCGACACCACAAAATGGCTCATGAACATGTTGGGAAACTTTTCTTTTTAAAACTTTAAAACTTTTCTTTTTTAAAAAAGAAACTTAAAAAAAACATGTTTTACATTCGAGAGAATCGTTGGGATCTAAGATTAAAGAAGAATTCTTTGGTGACAGCAGATGCATGCTTCATAAAAGGAAAGATCAATACTTTGAACCTCATCAAAACTGATATCTTTTGCTTTGCAAGCTGTCTGAAAGTGAAAGTCACTCAGTTGTGTCCGACTCTTTGGGACCCCATGGACTACACGGTTCATGGCATTCTCCAGGCCTGAGTACTGGAGTGGGAAGCCCTTCCCTTCTCCAGGGGATCTTCCCAGCCCAGGGATCGAGCCCAGGTCTCCCGCATTGCAGGCGGATTCTTTAGCAGCAGAGACACAAGGGAAGCCCAAGTTATCCAAACAGGATGAAAAAAACGCTAAATCACAACCTGAAAGAGGATTTTTGAAAACCGTACATTCATTGAAGGGCAAGTATGTGGAGTATATTAAAACTCTCACAACTGAGTAAAAAAAGAAAAGAAATGAGTATATCACATTCAGAAAATGGGCAGTGAGTAGAGCCAGGTGTTATGGAAGAGGATGCAGAAGTGGCCGAGAGCACATGGATAGACCTTTGTCATCAGCCACGAGGGAAATGCAAGTGAAACCACAATGAGACATCATTATGTACCTGTATGAATGCTCCAAACAAATGCAAGGACAACCCCAAATACTGACAAGGATGCTGAGAACCTGGACCACTGAGGCGTGGCTCAGAGGATGGTGAACTGGTGTAGCTACCCTGCAAAAGAGTTGACAGCTTCTTCAAAACCTTGAGGTCAGCACACATCCCAGCAGCTGCCCAGTTGAACTTTTATTTGAGAACAGCGAAGATGTATGTACACAGAGAAACTAGACATAAACTGTCCGTAGATCCTGCGTGAGTACCCGCCCAAACCGAGAGCAATCCAGATGTCCTTTCACTGGTAGCTGGGTGCAGACTTTGGTCGTCAAACATTGGAAAATAACTCGGCCATGAGAAGGACTGAGTTCTTCACCCACAGAACAGTTTTAATGATTCTCCAGTGAGTCTACAGGTTGAAAAATACCGCTTCCAGGGATGCATGCTATGTGATTCTATCTTTTATTTCTATGTACCATTTCTGGAAAGACTAACTTTTAGAAGTGGAGATGAATGAATGGTGCCTGGGGTGATGGGGAGCGCAGGGAAGCGGGTGGAAGAAAGTGGATGTTGCTGTCAAAGAACAGCAGGGATCCTTGGGAAGAAGTCACTGATGTATTCTGACTGGGCTGGTGGATCCCGAACCTACACTTGTGATAAAGTGACAGAACTAAACACCCAGGAACACACACATTGAGAACAAGTAACCCTGGGGGAAGCTGAGTTTGATAATCAGCCAAAGGTTTGATGACACCCTTCACAAAACACGGTACACAGATGAGAAGTGAGCATATCATGTGATATGGTCCATATCATAATCACTAGGGTGTGAGAACCAAAAACAAGGAGGAATCACTCCAGACCTATTAGAGAGACTTTGATAAAAATCCTAGTCTCAGATGCCACCCACGATGCAGGTCAATGAGTGCTCATAAAGGGCTGGTTTGGAACAGGGCTTCCCAGCTGGGTCAGCAGGAAAGAATCCACCTACCAATGCAGGAGCCATGGGTTCAATTCCTGAGTCCCGGAGATCTCCTGGGAAAGGAAACGGCAACCCGGTCCTGTGTGCTTGTCTGGGAAATCCCATGGACAGAGGAGCCTGATGTGCTAGAGTCCCTGTGCTCACGAAGGGTTGGATGCGACTTAGCGACGAAACGGCAACATTGGTTAACAGCTGGGCGGTTTCTTAGGTAGACGCATATCTACCATACAACCCGTCAATTCCATCCCCCAGTATTTACCGAAATGCTATGGAAACTTATGCTCACAGAGTGCTCATAACAAATGCTGTATAGGTTTTATGTGACATTGCCAAAGAGCAACACTGATGTTACAACAGGTGAAGGATAAACAGAACTGTGGTCCACCCTCCCAGGGACATCTGCTCAGGAACGGCCATGGAGGGAACCGTCAGGAGCTACAACCACGTGGACGGAGTTCACATGCATCCCTGCGTGAAGGAAGCCGGAGCCAAACGGCTGCCTTGGGCGCTCCCATTTCTGTGATGTTCTAACAGAGACCCGCCTGTAGGCACAGACAGCGGGGCCGCAGTCCCAGAGGTGGTGGTGGAGGAGGGGCTGATGTGGAGGGGCCTGGGGAAACGATGGGAAAGGCTGAGCTGGGGGATATTGTGCCTGTGGGGTCTTACACCGCTGTATGCATTTATCCACACTCAGTGATGTTTTGAGAAAGTGTGGGTTTCTTGTGTATCTAAGTTATAAAACAGGAAAAGAATAGTGAGAGAAGGTTCCAGGAACCGACTCTCACTTAGGCATTATGAGCAGGAAGTGGAGATAAGACAGAGAATACCCTTCCCCCCAGAGAGGAGGGGGTGGGGAGCAGGTTGGGGGGAGACAGTCTCTGCTCCTGAGGCTGTGGCCAACAGGTCAGCCTGCCCATTAGTGTCTGACCAAGGCTCTGAGGGGGGACCCCCTCACCGGTGCGTCGCCCTCAGTGCAGAGCGGGTGAGTGTTCACTGCCTCCCTTTTCGTTCCTGTCCTCACTTCCTGCCGTCTGTCCCTCTGTGTTCCCATCACACGCTCCCGCTGAATGTCTGCAGGTCTGTCCTCCCACAGACCCCCTCAGCCTGACTGAGCTCCTGCTCTGCGCCCTGGGCTCCTGAGTCAGGTCACCTGGTGCCTTGACCTCCACTGTGACCTCCGGACTCCCCTCTCCATGGCCCTGCCTTGAGAGACCCACCATGGGAGCACGGGGCCTGGGCCTCCTGGGGTCGGGTCGTCTCAGTTCAGCCCCCTCCCAGGGTCACGCTCCCCCCTGGTCTGGGCTGGTCTCTCCCCGCATCGTCCACACAGGCTTGTGGAAGAGGAAACACAATGTCCTATTTATAAACCACTTCAAATTAACACGTTTCTGCCTCTCCTGCTGGTGTCTCTGGGAGAGCGTCAGGGAGATGGATTTCTGAGGGGAGACTCAGGTCAGGGCCCTGGGGACGGACAGGGAGCAGCTCACCCTGGTGCCCGTGGGCAGAGGGCACGGGAGGGAGGTTTGTGCCTCACTTCCCCTTTGTCTGTGTGACTGTGGTACCCACTCTGGCCACCATCATTATAGCTGACACCGCAGATGTAATCAGCCTCGTCGTCAGACTGGAGGCTGCTGATGGTCAGGTAGCGCTCAGCCCCGGAGCCGGAGCCGGAGCCGGAGAAGCGGCCGGGGATCCCGTCCCTTCTGGTGACTTCTCGGTCACTGGTCAGCTTCACCAGATCCCGAGGGGCCTGCCCAGGGCTCTGCTGATCCCACTGAATGAAATGCATGCTATGCTCACTGCTCAGGGTGCAGGTGAGCGTGGCCGAGCCTCCCAGGGAGGAGGCCGCAGACGGGGACTGGGTCAGCACAGGCCGAGCACAGAGCCCTGCAGAGAGAAAGGCAGGTGGGGCTGAGGGCGCCCACACTGGGAGGGGACCCTCAGGACTGAGCCAGACGGAGGGGCCGGGAGCCCCCGAGGCCCGGGGCCACACTGACCGGTGCTGACCAGCAGGGACAGCAGATAGAGGAAGACCCAGGCCATGGTGGGAGGGGCATCCTGGGCTCTGCCCTGAGGCTGCCCAGCTGGACTGGGCTCTCCAGGCCCCCGTTTGATCCTCTCCCCTGCAGCTCCAGAAGGAGGGGCAGTGCTTGCCAATCAAGTCCCCGCCCCCGTCCTGGGTCTCAGCTCCCATCTCAGCCCTGAGCCCAGGGCCTCACTCTGGGCATTCCCCGGGGTCAGACACAGGGCCACGTGTGGGTTTCAGAGGGACAGACATTTTCCCCAATTCAAGGAAGCAACAGTCATGCCCTTTGCCCTTGAGCCCTGCCCAGGGGACAGGCACCTGGGAGGGTCCAGAACCAGGATCCGCAGCGCCCCCTGGTGCCCCGGGTTGGTCGTCTTTCTACACCTGTAGCTCCAACACAGTGAGGACTTGTGAGCCCCAGTCGATGCCAGACCCTTGGGGAGTTTCCTGCATCTCCTCCCCTGGCATCATAATAAGCCCACAGCGCCCTCTGTGACGGCTCAACCCTTCCCCAGTCTAAGGAGCAGGAGCCAGCACTGGGACAGGACAGGACTTCCCCAGAGTCCCCCAGACAGGGATGAGTGGGTCAACATTCCATCCAGGGCACTGATCTCAGAGTCTGACCTTTCAGCCGCCTCCCTCCCCACCCCATCTTCGGGCCCATAGCTTCCTTCCCTCCCCCAACCCGAGGCCTCCTGAGCCCCTCCACTGGCAACCTTCTCTTCTGTATTCAGGTGCCCTGGATCCTGTGTCAATAAAATATTTCTTACGGTCCACCTCTCCATTTAGATCTAGGCACAAAATAAAACCTTATGACACGTCATGGGGTTCATGCAAATATCTTCCCACTGAAAGGGATGCTTGTAGAAATTTAATAAAACAAAACAAAACAGTATTGCCGTTTATTTCACAAACTATAGTAAAAATGTGGGTGATGGCTCAGAACCACCGTTGAATATTATAGTTTCATTCCTAACTTGCCTTTGAGGTGGACGTCACATGGATACCTGTATAAAATCCCCTGATTCTGGGTGGGATATAGATCCCCAGTTTCTTCCCAGCCAAGAGTCTGGGTTTGGGAGCCTCGCTCACCTCTTGGTGGTGGTGAGTGTTTTCTGCAGACACAGTTCCCCATAGAAGCCCCATCCATCTCACTCGCTCAGTGCAACATGGTGGCCACAAGCCAAGGTGGGCAGTCCCAATTGAGAAGTGCTGTTGTGAAATACCCAGTAGATCTCAAAGACTTGGGATAGAGTAGCGTAGAATGTCACAGAAGGCAATGGCACCCCACTCCAGTACTCTTGCCTGGAGGAGCCTGGTAGGCTGCAGTCCGTGTGGTTGCTAAGAGTCGGACATGACTGAGCGACTTCACTTTCACTTTTCACTTTCATGGATTGGAGAAGAAATGGCAACCCACTCCAGTGTTCCTGCCTGGAGAATCCCAGGGATGGGGGAGCCTGGTGGGCTGCCGTCTATGGGGTCACACAGAGTCAGACAAGACTGAAGCGAGTTAGCAGCAGCAGCAGTGTAGAATGCATCCAGATTTTCATATTGGAATGGCAATTAAAAAATATCATTTTATTTGTTTATTCATGGCGGTGCTGGGTCGTCACTGCTGTGTGGCCTTCTCCACTCGTGGCGAGTGGGCGCTGGTCTTCGTTGTGCTGCTCGGACTTCTCATCGCGGTGGTTTCTCTGGCTGTGGAGCACGGGCCTTGGGCGGGCGGGCTTCCGTGGTTTCGGCAAGTGAGCTCAGCAGGGGCAGCTCCCAGGCTCCAGAGCGCTGCTCAGCGGATGTGAGGCGCGGGCTAAGCCGTCCTGCGGCATGCGGGATCTTCCCGGATCAGGGAGAGAACGCGTGTCTCCTGCATTGGCAGGTGGATTCTTTCCCACTGAGCTTCCAGGGAAGCTCTTGAAGTGATATTTTGAACTAACTGAGTAAGCAAAATCTATCATGGAAACAGCATCTGTTTCGCATCATTTTTCAAAAATGTGTTTCGGAAAATTTAAAATCACATATGTGGTTGAAACTTGATTTTAATCGGACAGGGTAGCAGTGCATAGTCTCCATATCTGTCACTTGTTTTTTTAAAGGACAGGAACTTCCTGGCACATTCAGGAAAGGCCATGTTTCAGCTTTGGAAGCACAGTGAGAGGCCACAGGAAGCTGGTGAGGACCAGGGGTCGGGTGGAGGGAACGACTTTGCTGCCAGCTTGGCCCTGTTCCAGGTGGGACGTGAAACAAGTTGCTCAGAATTCATGCCTCAGCTTCCCCGTCTGTAACATGCGTTATCATCTGAATGCTTATTCATAGAACAGTTCTGATTAAACAAGGTAACAAATAGAAAGAACTTTGATGGTGCCTGATGCAGATTATGCACATAGGAATATTGACTCTTATTGCATCTATTAAGAGTGATAATCTGTGTCCTTCCTATAAACCAGAGGTTTTGGGATGTTGGGAGTAGGAGTGTGATGGGTTTGGACAGGTGACCAGGGCACTACTTTCTGTCAACCCCAATATACACACACTCCTTGTGGAAACCTTCCACACTGATGAATTGAGGTCCTAACAGCAGTGCCTAAGAGCAGGGCCTTATTTGGAAATAGAGTCCATTCAGACGTCATGAGTTAAGCTGAGTTCATGCTGGGGTGAGGTGTCCCTAGTCCATTCAGTGGGTCTCAGGAGCTCTGGTCCAGGAAAGTGTCACCCGCTCCTGCCAGCCCATCATCCACTGCTGACCCCCCCATGCAGAGCCCGCCTGGAGGGCTGGGAGGAGGGGCCGCCTGGGGGCTCAGCTCCGGGGGAACCGGGCCAGGCCTGTCCCTGCTGAGTCCACAGTCCTCCCGGGGCTGGAGGAGAGTGTGAGCAGGACGGGAGGGTTTGTGTCTCGCTTCCCCGTCTGTCTGTGTCACTGTGAGCATCACCACCACTGACACCAGCTGACTGACAGTAATAGTCGGCCTCGTCCTCGGCCTGGGCCCCGCTGATGGTCAGGGTGGCCGTGTCCCCAGAGCAGGAGCCAGAGAACCGGTCAGGGATCCCCGAGGGTCTCTGATTGTACTAATAAATGACCTTCACAGGGGCCTGGCCCGGCTTCTGCTGGTACCAGTGAGCATAAGAGCTTCCTATGTCGTCTCCCTGGCAGGTGATGCTGGCCGTCTGTCCCAAGGTCACGGACACCACAGGCGGCTGAGTCAGCTGGGAAGAAGCCAGGTGACCTAGAAGAGAGGAGAGGAAGGGGAGTGTGGGGAAGAGGGTCTCCTCGCCAGGACCCCATACCCCCTGCAGCAGCCTCTGTGCTGAGCTGACGTTCAGGGCCGGGTGAGCCCCGGTCACTTGGGGGCCGCGCCGGGGGGCCGCACCTGTGCAGAGAGAGAGGAGGGACAGCAGGAGAGGGGTGCAGGCCATGGTGGGCGCGCCCTGAGCTCTGCCTCTGAGCCCGCAGCAGCGCTGGGCTCTACGAGCCCCTTTATTGCCTCTCGGAGCTTTGAGGGGGGCAGCGAGGGCTTTGTTTATGCAAATTCAGCCCCTGGGGCCCCTCACTGAGAGGCAGGGTCACCACACCATCAGCCCTTGTCTGTCCCCCGCTTCCTCCTCGGCTTCTCACGTCTGCACATCAGACCTGTCCTCAGGACGGGGGTCACTGTCACCTCCCCTGTGTCTGACCACGTGCCCGCTGTCCTAACTCCCCGGCCCCTGGCCTGTGGTCTCCCCTGGACTCCCCAGCGGGGCGGTCAGCCTGGCAGCGTCCTGGCCGTGGACTGAGGCATGGCGCCCTGGGGTTCACTGTGGATGTGACCCTGAGAGGTGGTCACTAGTCCTGAGGGGACGGCCTGTCCATCCTGACTTCCTGCCAAGCGCTGATCCTTGGACACCTGTGCACCCGCAGGCCTGGTTCCCCTGGAGCTCCCCTCGGGCAGCCCCGCCTCTGACCTGCGGCTCCCGGCCGCGCTCTGCTGCCCCCTGCTGGCCACCCCGCGTGCTGCCTCTAGTAGAGCTCCGATTTCTCACGGTAACTAATTACTGTCTCTGCATTCATGTCCCTGTGAAGGGCTCACTTAGCTTTTCTCACACTAGAGACCATGGTCCTTCTGTGTACAGCGATCACATCCTCTCTGTGGAACTTTTGTAAAAGATTCTGCGGCCAGGAGTCATAAGGGATCTTAGCTGAGAAATGCTGCATCAGAGAGACCTGATAACCAATGTGAGGGGGGGAACCTGGAAGATCTTATCTGGTGCAATACCCACAGCTATGACAGATGTTCTGGGCATCAGGGAATGTGGGGGCTGTGGACTGGTGAGATGTGTGTGAAATCTTCCAAGTACACACATACATGCAAATATATGTGTATGTACACACAGAGACAGAGCCAGAGGCTGTGAGTGTCAGAGCACCAGGTACCCACGGTACCTCCACAGAGGTCACAGCACAACGATTCCTTCTGGTTTCTTGGTCAACTGACTTCACAATTCAAATTCTTGTACTCCATGATGAACTGAACAAATTTAAAAATACTGCAACACATGCTTCGTGTGTCTGTGTGTACGTTCAGTCTTGATGACCCCATGGACTCTAGCCTGCCTGGCTTCTCTTCCACGGAATTTCCTAGGCAGGAATAGTGGAGGAGGTTGCCTTTTCCTTCTCCAGTAAATATACATACATGAAGGTTACTATTTTAATCACCGAGATGGTTCGTAACGTGTGTCCCAGTTGTCAGGGAAACCAGGTGCCA